CCTCGGGATAAACAAAGAGACTAATATTAGCGTAGATGCCATTCTTCTTATGATGTAACGAGTACATCAGGATTTATGGGAAGTGTTCCCGGAGAAATACCCCTCCGGTTCCACGTTGCCCCCCATCCTGTGAGGGAAGCGTCTGTCGTGACTAACTCCCGACGAGAGGGAACAACACCCAGAGGCACTCCTGCCTTCAAAAACTCGAACTGTCTCCACCGCCTCAACGCACATATGCAACGGTGAGAAATTATAACCAGTCGATGGCGATGTCTGGTGGGATCTAGCCGCAAACTGTTGTTCCAAAACTGGAGTGGTCTGAAGTGGAGTAAACCCAGGGGGATCACCACTGTAGCCACTGTTAACATCCCTATCAGTCGTAGGACCACCTCGTACTGCAAAGACACACCCGGACGAAAGCGAGCCAAAAGTTGCAGAATGTTCGTCAAACATTCCTGAGACAGGGAGGCAGACATTAGGCCGGAATTCAGGGTCATTCCTATGAACGTAGTGGTCTGTGATGGAATCAGACGGCTCTTCTCGTTCACAGAAAACCCCAGCTTCTGAAAATGTCTCAAAAGCAGTCTGGAGTCTTGTACAGCCTGTCGCTCTGTGGGGGCACAGATAAGCCAGTCGTACAAATAAGGAAGAATACGCATACCTCTCATCCAAAGAGGAGACAGAGCTGTGCTCACACACCTTGTGAAGACGCGAGGAACAAGGGAAAGGCCGAAGGGTAGCACTTTGAACTGGTAAGCTTGATTCAGGAAACTGAAACGCAGAAACTTTCTGTGATGTAAAGCAATTGGGACGTGAAAGTATGCATCTTTCAGGTCGACACTTACAAACCAATCGTCTGCTGTCACAGACCGAAGAACATCGGCTGTGCGCAGCATTTGAAAAGGAAGGACCTTCAGGAACAAATTCAGAAGCCTCAAATCAAGAATTCGGGCGGAAACCACCGTCCTTCTTTGGAACAAGAAAATTTGTTGAATAGAACCTGTCTCCCTAAACGAGGGGATGAACTTTTTCTATGGCTCCCTTCTCATACAGTGAACAAATTTCCAGAGAGAGAGCCACTGCACGAACCGCGTCTCTGACAATCGTAGGAACAATTCTTGAAAATCTGGGAGGCCGGCGTTGAAACTGTGTAGAGTATATCCCCTGCTCAGAGTCACCAACACCCAGGGGTCTGCTGTGTTGGATCTCCAGTACTCCAGTTGATCTATAGAAAAACGATCGACCTCCGGCCTGACTGTCTCAGGCTTTATGTGTGCGATTTTTAGTGGTTGTGGGGGGGCGCTGACGGGGTCCTCCCGGAAACTGTCGATGAGGTAGGCGAAAAACTCTCGCATATTCAGGAACATAAGGTCTTTAAGGGGGCTGTGATTGAGGTGTAGCGTGCCGGCGGAAACGTTGCTCCGATGTGGCATAGTGATGTCGGGTCTGAACCGCTGGCATCCTAAAGGTAGGGTTGCGCTGGCTGCACCTGTGTCAGTTGACGAGTGGCTTCAGACAGCTTTACCCTCTTTTCCAACAGTTCCGGAACATTTGTACCAAAAAGATGCCTGGGAACAAATGGAAGATCTCTCAAGGTTTCTTACAGTCCTCTGGCAGTCGTGCTTGGGCAAGCCACGGCGGGCTGCCAGAAGCGTGGCTGTAAGACTACCCAGCTCGCTGGGCTGTTGCCAACAGAGCAGTTTGCAGAAATTGTGAAATAGAAGGATCCGCATTTGCAGGTTCCAGCGTACTGGTGGCAGCAATAAGTGGCAGATTGTGTTTTCTGCTCGAGTAATGTAGGCAACAGACTCACATGCCTTTTCTAGCAAGAAATCCGTACGACCGCATTGAGCACTGGGACATCACACATTCCCTCGTAGAGCCTCATCAGGAGACACCACCAAAGCTGCCACAGGCTGCTCTATTTCCGGAGCACGACCCACCCCGATAGAATCTGCTTCAGCCATAGATACTAGCGTTCGAGCAATCTTTGAGTGCCGCTTAGGCGGACCAGAACCAGTGAGAGGATTTGAGAATTCAGCCACAAAATCCTTACATGGTGGTATGGCAAACGAAGTTGCAGATGTGGTCTGTCTGAAAAACACATTCGTTTGGGCAGATTGGACAGGTGACTCATCAAGTCCTAGCCAAGCAACTGCCATTTGAAGCACAGCCAAAGTATCATCGGAGGAGGACTGGCTGGGCTTGTCCAGACGACTGAACTGACCCCCCACTAGACCCCTCCACTGCTGGGTAACCAGTGAAAACATCCTGAGGTGATGGTTGTGCAGCAACATCCATAGTATCCCCATGATCGTGAAAAAAGGAATCTGAAGCACTTGTAGAAAGCACATCAAATTCTGAACGATGAGAAAAACAAGGGGAATCAAGAGACTCTTCCCCAGCTCCCTGATTCTGAACATTCTCATCCTCCTGTGTCATCCTCACAGGTGTATAGCAGATGTGACAGGCTGAAGCGAGTGAAGCAGGTGTTTCAGCTCTGCCATCTCTGAAGAAAGCACCGACACCGTCATAGAAAGTGAACCTTTCTCAACATGTGAATGTTCATCACCTCGCGATTTGGCCTTCTTAGCTGGGAGGGGAGAACCAGCTGCCGCCGACGCCCTGCGCTTCCGAGTGCGTGACGGGCTACCTCTAACTGCCCAAGTTTCACTGTTGAATAGGGTCTAACTCGGCAAGATAGAGCCGTGGTTCCGACATAGGCAAAAGGCTGCAGTGCATGCGCGGGTCCGTGAGAGCCTCTCGCAGATGTTGAAGACCCAAACACGACGGGCAGATGCATGACCGTCGTCATGGGAGAAGATTATTAGGGCACAGCTTACAAGTCAGTGGGAAACCAGTGGCGATCGAGCTGTGAGCCATAGTTGCTGCTAACACCCCGGATCGCACCGTAAGGTTAAGTTAAGCGGGATGAAAAAATAATAAAAATAAAATAAAACGATTACCTCGGGTGAACCGACAGGTAATACCAACAAATATCTCACGAAAAAGATAAAAGGTGTCTAAAATGGCCGGCGGATTGAACCGAGGGACAAAAAGTGTAACATGGATTCGAGGAAAAAAACACTCTAAGTAGATAAGTCAACGGGAGACCATTGACTCATAGCCGTGGAAACAAGCCACCGGATTGCACCAAAAGGCACAGAGTGTTACAGATGAAGCAATATAAACTCAAACAGAAAAACAAAACTCACCAAGTGCTGTTAATTTAATCCAAATCCTTGAAATGGCGTAGACACGCGCTGTCACAGCTTGTGAGAACGAATCTCGCTGCTCTTGTAAGGTGCACTTGACAGCGCGAATAATCACTCAACCAAATAAAACCTATCTCAACCAGGCGAGAAAGTGAAAGAGGTAGAGTGCTGAGCTACTGTAGCTTTTAACCCTCCAGGGCTCAGCACGTCACCCCACTTGACTTTGTTGGTATTTTCTCTCAACCTACCTAGCTGGCGCTGCGATAATCCATAGTGTTTACACTGCCTCTGGCGGTCAGTAAGAATGTAGTCTCGCGTAGCCAGACCTTCAGACTGACGGCTGAAGGTCTGGAATTCATAGCAGCTTTCTTTGGCCAAGGCCCGCCCATAAGGCCGTTTGACCGACATGTAAAGCAACCAATTACAGTTCGTTTCGTTCAGCGTCACGTTTCGGGGCGTGGAAATGTCCCCACAACAACAGACCTGCGTGCAACAAGTCAGTCAGCATAGAAAATCAAAGAAGGAGAAGAAAACTTCAAGAGTCTATGCCGTGAACCTCGCATACTTTTGAGAATCCTACGTTTAGCTGATCTTGATAAATGCTCCTTGTCACTCATGTTAACACAACATTTTTTTGTTCCGCAATCGCATGTCTGCGCTTTGTTTCCCGGCGGACCGAAAATAAACGCGACACTCGCGCCCCCCGGAAATCCGATAAAATTCAACCAATCAGATGACGACTTCGACATTCCTGAAGTGTTTCCAGTAAGTGTACCATATGCATCAGTACGTTTAGCCAACGTTCCGTGGGCGTGACGTCTGAGGCTGAGACTAGTAAGAATGAAACGGAACAGAAGTTTAACCATTTCATCTGCAGCAAGAAAGAAAACGAAAAGAGGGAGATCTTTAAGTTCTGTAGCTCAAACTAGCAACAAATTACTGTTGCTTACCTCCAGTTTGTGTGGCAAAATGGACTAACTATATTACCCACGTCTTCCAAGCCACCTGCGATGTTGGCCTATCTACACCGTGCCTCTTAATTAATTTGTTAAACTATGTTTTTTAAATAAAGCTGTTTTTAATTTTCATTGATGACTATATTGCAGTGTTTGGACATTTTATAGACTGTTAATAATTTTAATTATATGCCTATAATTCATTGTAATCGAACTAAATGTTTTAGACAATTTTCAAGGCTTATATGTAATATTTTTTATCATCAGCGCATTGGTTATGCGGTGGCGCGCTATCTATGAAATTATTGCCTTGCGAATTATTTAGCCTATCAATTTAATAATAAAAGTAGCCTTCCCTAATAATACTAATAATAATTTAATACATAAATTGGAAATGCTAAATCATCTTGATATTGATAGTTGATGCTTGTTTTGACAATATCTCTAGATACACGATACTTTATTGGCGCAACCCGGTATGGGGGTTTATCGCGCATATTTCACACGTATAGTGTGAGCAGTCAAGTCGCAGCTCGAGGTTCGGACCGTATAGTGTGTGAGCACATAAATCCATAGCATAAATCCACATCGCATGCGATCTACTCTCAGTGTTTTGCTGTTTCGCACAGTATATGCCCGGCTTAAGCAAAAAATTTTTTTTTATGTTGAGCCACAGCCCATTGGCCGCTGATGCAACAGCAACCAATCAGATAACGATGTGATAACTACCAAATTAAGGGAAGGACCTATCAGCATGCGCCATCTAGAGTTTCATGACATAACTTTGTATTTAAGATCAATTGCAAGACACAAATCTAGTTGCGTTTTGAGATGTTGAAGTTCTGATAATGGCTGTAAAGGAACTGTCGGTGTTTATGGTGTGTTTTTGGATTGTCTGTGCTGATGCTGGACATGAGTTCTTCTCATCAACAGGTTATTATTTCAGTTCAAAATCAATTCATTATATATTATATTATATTGTTTTTTTATTCGTAATGTTTTACGTGTTTTGTCCATATTTCTCCAACTGTTTTTTTATACCGTTGTCATGAAAAGTTGATTGTATGTTTTCATCTGTAAGAATTTTGACCAAAAATGACCAATAGTTGTCTACCACAGTCTTTGTCATAATTTCAACACTGATGCACTCATGCCATAACAACATTAGTAACTCTTTCACGTTTTAACACTAATTGACTAAACGTTAACTCCCTCTTTGGCTTCTTACCTAATAAACCTTTTTCATTATAACTAATGATGTAAATTAATACATTAATCAAATCCCTTTTGACAAAGTGCAGATTGTTTTATAGATCAAATTGCACAACTTTATGGGAATACGAAAGACCTTCTGAAGGTCTTCAGTCAGTGTGTTGATGCTGAGAATGTAGAGACAACGAAGAGGTGACAACCCTTTCATTATTCCCAATATACCATTAAACTACAAGATTAATGTTTTTTATTTATCATTAATAAAAAGCATTACATTTTGGAATGGATGTTTAACAATTATATATGATTTTAGATTAAGTATTATGTTAATAAATACATCTTCTAACACAACTTTTGATGAACCCCTGTCTTCATCCAGTGTTCTTCCGAATCATCTTCTTTCATACTCTGACTCTGAGAACCCAGAGGAAGCTGTGAGAGACCCTGTGGCAGCTTACAGACTCCTGAGACAAATGAGAAATGATTTTATGTATATTGTAAAACGTATTCAGCTGAATCTTACTCGGTGTGAAGAGTATCAGAATGAGTTGGACCCAATGATCCCACAGCTGGAGGACTTGGATGGTGCAGCTTCAGGACTGATCAAACTGCAAGAGATCTACAAACTCCACCCAGAAGACATCACAAAGGGTAAACTGTCCTGCAGTTTTGCACCAATGCAGTTTCACTGAGAATTTCACTTTCCAATCTGAATTATGTTTTTCATTTCACAGAAACGTCTCTAAATGCAGATGAGGCTTTCAATGTAGGGTTGGTCGCTTATGACGAGGACAAATTCCAGCATGCCTTCCTCTGGTTTCTGTACAGTCTGGACAGATTAACAGAAAACTCAACCACTACTGAGGAAGAATTGCTCCGTTTCCTTAGTTCCTCAGTCTATCATTTTGGCAGCCTGTCTGTGGCAATCTACTTCAGCCAACGGCTTCTAAATCTGGGTGAGGTCATTCTGTCCTGCATTTAATAACTTTTAATTTAATATTTTTATATGTGAGGATGGCAGACAATTTAGCTAAATTGTTGTGATTCAAGTCTTAAACATCTTTGCCTCAGATCCGAGTAATGATGAAGCCAGAGTTCAGCTGAACAGACTTCTTCACTTACAGAGCAACCCTGACATATTTCCACTGAACACCGAGTCAAGTAACTATGAGGCTCTGTGCAGAGGAGAGGTTGACGAGAGGGCAAGTGCTAAAATTTAAATAAACATTTGACATGAAATTACAAACAGTCATTGTGAAGCTTTGTGTGTTGATTGGAAGTTTATTATATTTAATCAGATCTCCAAGAGGCAGAGAGCGCTGTCCTGTAGGTACAGCACAGGTGGAGGAAACCCCAGACTGATGTACGCACCAGTGAAAGAGGAAGTGGAGTGGGACGAGCCTCGCATCATCAGATATCATGACATTATATCAGACAGAGAGATGGAGATCCTGAAGAATATCTCCAGACCTCAAGTGAATATCAAACACACACACGTTTGATCTCCATGTTTTTCATGACTTTCTATAGACATGATTTGTTTATACTGCACAAACTATGTTCTATCCTTACACACACCCACAAACACACACCAACAACACAAATATTTTTGTTATTATTGTCAGTATATTTAAAACGTTATCTCTTGTTATGGTGTATTTTTGCACTGTTCAATGGGCAAATGTATGTGGACATTCATTTCGAATGAACATGTTTGCTTGGCCCCTTAATTCCAGTGAAGACTAGTCTTAATGCTATGACATAATTACATTCTAGATTGGTGGGTTTCAAACTTTTTCAAAAATGATAAACCCTTGCCATGGACCCTTCTCCTACAATATTGAGGCGTTTCCGCTACATTCATTCTGCAGTGGCGGGCCGCCACACCTAAAATCATCCCGCTACGGCTGCAGCTTCTCAGTGAGCTCTGATTTTGTGGATGGGCTACGCTGGTTTGGTTTGGGATTGGTAACTGGACAAGGTTTCCCAGAAATCGACCGTTTAACGTCAACTCCGCTATAAATCCATATGGGCGGATAGTGAAAAACAACCCCGTCGTTGTGGTAAATAAGACCTGCAATTCCGTTCTGTGCGCTGTGACTGAGAAGCATCGTGGAAGAAAGAGAGAGCATTATCTCATCATACTGAGTCGAGACGCGTTATACATTTAGGGTCATGTAATGTGAACTTTCTTTCTTTTGCATTTATTCAAAATAGGCTCTATAATTTTAAATCAGTGCAAACGTGACCAATGGGAATATCACTCATGGGCCACGCCCCCCGGGGAAATGGGCCTGCCACCACGGCTGGAAAAAATCCTAGAGGAAACACTGAGCCAGCTATTTATTTTCTTAGCTTTACACGCATTTAAGTTGACTATCTACTTAAGTTGACTGTCTACTCCCCAGCTGATGTGTAAACCTTAAGAGAAATCTACACTATGGATTTTAATAGAATAAAATCGATCTTATCATTTCTGACCAGTCTTGAATGATAGTCAAATGTCAAACCATGTACAGTTAAACCTAAAATGTACTAATTTAAATGTAAACCTTGGTTGTAGAGAATTGTGTGCTTCATGTGAGGTCCGTATAGAAATGATTCATTGAGGTCTGTGTGGAAGAACTTGGCTGATCTATAGAAAGCCCAGATTTGAATCCCACTGAACACATTTGAGATACATTGGAGTCCTAACTGCAGGCCTCATCCAAAATCCGAGCCAATGATTTTGAAACCAAAGGCTCAAAAAGCAAACAAGTGTGTTGTTTGGGTGTCCACATACTTTTAGCCATATACATAAATGTATACTTGACAGTTCATTCCTGTTTGTTGCCTACAGCTTTCTAGATCAGAAGTTTATCGCTCTGGAATCACAAAACCCTTAAAACTACGTGTTTCTCAAAGGTTAATATGTATTAAAATCACCTCACTATAATGGCATAGTTCACCCAAAGATTTTAATTCTCTCATAGTTTTACATGATGTTTGTTTTTTAATACAAAAACTATTACTTTAACATGAGTTAGCAGTATTTTACATAATATTAAACCGTTTTAGTCACACACTTACTATGCACTTAATCATCACTTTTTTTCAGTGTTTTTCTAAGCGATGACCCTGTGGAAGCTGGTGTCAGTCAGAGGATTGCAGATGTTACGGGACTCTCCATGGAATCCGCTGAATCACTGCTTGTACGTCACAGTAAGAAAGAAAGCATATGATCATTACAGTATATAATTAATTTATATTCACCTGATTCATCAATCTTGAATTCTTAAATGGAGTTAAACCTGCATTTTTACCTGTGAAACATTGAAGTGTTAACCGTTTCTATTTCAATAGTGATTCATAAATGATGCAATCATTTTCCAGGTTCAGAATTATGGGGTTGGTGGTGCATTTGAACAGCATATTGATGCATTGGTAAGTTCACTGTACAGACATTACTTTACATATTTAAAAATAACACCGACACTATTGCTGACTTCTTGTGTGCAACCAGTCTCCATGGAAAAATGTGTAGGCCATATATTATTGGACAACCACTGTAGTCCTTATTTTACAAATTGTTTGCCATGTTTAAATCCCATTTGTTAAAAAAATTGCATTTGAGGTTTTACTTGTGATTTTTATGATGTGTAACAAAACGTAAAAGTCTCTTGAAGTAATACATACACACAGGGGAACCAATGGCTCGAAAAAGCAAATTCTCTTGCAGAATTACAATTACAAATGTAACCCCTGTATTCTGTGTCATTGAGAGCTGGATTACATGTTGACCAAGCAAATAATTACAAACTAACTGAAGAATGTTTGTTGACGGAAGTTGGGGGATTTCAGGTGTTGCCCAATATAGTCCCAAGTCAATTTCTGCCTAGGAAATCGCCTAGTCTTAATCTGCATTGCTATTTATACTCGTTGTGAATACGCAGGCCACAAGAAGTAATACGTTTTTTTTGTTCTTTTTTACTCCCGACATGCTAGCTGGCATTCCATTCATTATGCTAAGCTAACCCAGCGGCGGCGCTGCCAAACTAAAACACTGCATGCACTGAGACAAAAAATGCATTTGCCCACCTATATAAATGTAGGAAAGACCGTGAATAAGCCCTATTTAAAAAAAAAAAAAATGGTGGTGTGTTCCTTTTAAAAGCGCATCTCCACTAAACGATGATATTCCGATATTCTATACTCTTACGCGTATCTAACTCCACAGTTACTCACTTCAAATGATTTTAAATTTTGTTTGTATTTTCAAATTACTTTTATTTTAATTAAATACTTTTTTTTTCACAGCAGTATTGTATTTTAAATGCATTTGAGTAAGTATTGTAAATTTGTAATTTAATACTTTTTTTTTTTTTATGTATTTGTGCCCATCTCTGCTCGCAGGAGATAGAGAATGACAGGATTTGTACATTCCTAATTTATGTAAGTTGATGGTGTAAGTGCAGCTGTCAGAAAAACAAGTAGCCTTAATGGCATTAAACCATATTTCTATTATAGCTATTAACATTACCTGTGTAACCATCCATATAAATGTTTTCCTGTAGTTGAGTGATGTGGAGATGGGGGGCGCCACTGTCTTCCCTAAAGTTGGAGTTGCAGTGCATCCGAAAAAGGTAAACCCTCAATTCTGTAATTTATACAAGAATAATTTAAGTACCAATTACAAATAAAAGAATAATTTCAGCATCCTCTCTCTGTTTTTGCAGGGTTCAGCCATGCTTTGGTACAATCTCCACAGAAATGGTGAAGTGAATTGGAATACGGAGCACGCTGGATGCCCTGTGTTAATGGGTAACAAATGGGGTAGGTTGTAGATAAATCTAAAATATAATTGGCTGATTTGATGACATTATTTTGGAACTTTTGTTGTGTATCCTCAAAGTATATTTCAATTTCATATTCTTAAGACATTCTATACTCGTATGTAGCTTTATCAAAATTAATTATTTGTGAATGTTCTTTGTAAGATTAATGTATTGCCTTTTTTTTATATTGTATGGTGTTCTTGAACCAAACAATCGTGTGTGTAGTGTTTTATATATATATATATATATATATATAATATAGCATTGTTGTTTGAGGAGAAAAACAATTCAGTCATGACTCATTTGAAAAGAAAAGCGGACGATTGAAAGATAAATGTTAATGGTAAACATATTTTTTTGTTTTTTTCAGTGGCTAACAAATGGATCCATGAGTTTGGACAGGAATTCAGGAGCCCCTGTTCTTTGTCAGACTGGGAATGAAAGACTCTACAAGGCTTGAAATCATAAGATATTTGTATCTGTAAATATGCTTTAACATACCTACAGAGAAAGTTGTACTCTACTGATACATAAATATAACATATACAGATAATGTAGGCAGTTGTTTTGCTGTTTGTAACAGTATATTTCACTGTCACTATTACTGCCTCAGATCACAGCTGAGTTTTTCATATCTTCTCTCGATGCAGCTGAGCCCTTTAGCTCTTACATGCACTGCAGAAAGGCACTGTACTTTTGTGTCTGTCAAAGCTCAGTAAGGGTATAGGGTTCGGATTCGTTTTGCAATGTGTTAATATGAGTATTTAGAGTCTGTCTTGGTCAAATCTTTCATAAAAAAAAATAAACTTCAGAATACAGAATTTGGTTGTTCAGATATTCCAATCTGTAACTCTTGTGTGACACATATGAGGGTTGGGCTCTGATGTCAGATCAGTTATAAGCCTCTAATTTTATTTCATAGATTTGATTTCTTTTCCCCCCTTGTGAAATAGTGGCCTCAACTAGCTGATTCAACACAAAATAATTTGTAACCTGGCTCCCTTGAAATGTTGTTGGGTATACTAAGAAACTTCAGTTGTTTGCACATATATTGGATTTCCTTAAACCTAGAATTAATATTGGAGTAATAAAGGTGATGCTGACAAATAGTTTAATCATCTTACTTTGTTTAACCTTTTATGCTTTCCTCGTATCTGAATTACACATTCTTCCCTCACGAGTCAAAATGACCCGACGCATTAAAATTACACTTTTTCTATCTTTTTTTTTTGGTCCAGAAAGCTTATCATTTTATTCTATCTTTAAGATTTTTTTTTAATTTTATTGATCTCTAAATTACTATATTTAAACAACAATGAAATTAACAATAAGCACGTTCTTCGCATTCTTTAAATACAAAATAACTGCAGTACATGCAAAATTCAGTTTAAAGAATAATGCATTGGGTGTCTCTACTGACCTCATGTGGAAAAAAATATAACATGGTATTTAATGAATATTGCTACTAGATGGCCTTAACTACATGGGGAGTAAATGAACTGGCACCATCATTTTAATGGCCATTTCTAGGTGTGTGTGTTTATGTGAGTGTGGGATGCTCTATGGTCTCTGGGTTGTGCACTTTTATTTTTCTGACACAAAAACGTTTTCCCCATTTCCCATTAATTCCTATAGGGGTCAAATTGACCTGCAAGGGAAGGATTTGTTACTTTTTTATTATTATTACAACCACAAAAACTGCTTGAATCCAGTCCATTTTTTGTGTGTTTTCCAATTTCAAGTGTGACAAAACTAACAAGGTCTTGTACCACTCCGAAGAACACTCAAATTTTAAAAATGATTTGCGGGTCAAAATGCCCTGAGGAAAGGATGAAGGTATAGTGTCAAATTTATAAAGTGCTTTGCTCTAAACCATCCACTGAGAGTGTATAAACTTAAAGAAAAGATAATTATGATAAAACCAATAAAACTTCTAATGCATATCAGGATTTTCTTTTGTTTTCTTCTTCATTGTCATGGTTTTTGTCTTGTGCTCCACTTTTAATCCTCTCTTGTAATCCCATGACTCGGTTGAAAGGCCACTCTGTGCTTTTGACTGGCCAGTTTAAAGTCTGGGTGAACTGCAGGGTGGAGTTGACCGGTGACTGGCAGGAGAGCTCTGATAGGTTAGTCACTGAAGAAGGCGGTCCAGAAAAGAGGGGAAATTGCCTTTGGATTGGATGTGCCTGAGGAAAGGGGAGGGGTTTGGGGAAGCTGTATGGCAGCAGAAGGGGATGAGAAATTGACTGCACAGCTGTCCACAAACAAAGATGCACACACAAACAAATATGCACACAGAGAAAAAAATGTCAATGTTAAAAACTGAATCAAATTTACATTGCTATTTGCTTAAATTAGTGATGACATCTCAAATAATTTGATTGTTAAAATAACACTCTTACCCCTGTCAATAGAAGGGTTGTAGAATGAAAGATGAGAAGGAAAGGCAGAGAAAGGTACAGATGCTGTATTCTGAAAAAGAATGAGGGAAAAATAGCTATTATAATATTCATAAGTCAAATTTGTCACTATATGCAACAAAACACTTAAAAACACTCACGCACCTGTGGGTAGGTTGGAAAACTTGGGTAATTCACTAAGACTAGTTTGCTGAAATTAAACTTGTAGGTGAAACGTTTTCCTTTGGTCTTGTGCAAAATTCGCTTATTATAATAATACCTGATTTGAAGGGGGGAAAACAGATTTGTCAAACAATAGATTTGTCTCTTCATAAAATGTTAAGAAAATTATGTATTTCTATAATTTGTTATTTTTGTTTGCATGAATGTTTGTACATATACAGTAATTGGAATAATAGGCACATGACATTACAGGACCTGCATATATATATATATATATATATATTAATTATGATAGTCATATGAAATTCATACTGTAATATATTTTTTATGCTGAAAAAATAATATAGTTGTAAATATAGCTATCATACTAACATGTAGCCTACTTTAGTACTACATATATTTGAGGTTGATATATCGATATTCATAATTTTCTAGCAGCCATTTCTTTATATTTTTCTCCATAAATCTGGATAATCATGTAAACCTACAATATTATATATATATATACACTCACCGGCCACTTTATTAGGTACCCCATGCTAGTAACGGGTTGGACCCCCTTTTGCCTTCAGAACTGCCTCAATTCTTCGTGGCATAGATTCAACAAGGTGCTGGAAGCATTCCTCAGGGAGTTTGGTCCATATTGACATGATGGCATCACACAGTTGCCGCAGATTTGTCGGCTGCACATCCATGATGCGAATCTCCCGTTCCACCACATCCCAAAGATGCTCTACTGGGTTGAGATCTGGTGACTGTGGAGGCCATTTTAGTACAGTGAACTCATTGTCATGTTCAAGAAACCAATTTGAAATGATTAGAGCTTTGTGACATGGTGGAAGTAGCCATCAGAGAATGGGTACATGGTGGCCATAAAGGGATGGACATGGTCAGAAACAATGCTCAGGTAGGCCGTGGCATTTAAACGATGCCCAATTGGCACTAAGGGGCCTAAAGTGTGCCAGGAAAACATCCCCCACACCATTACACCACCACCACCAGCCTGCACAGTGGTAACAAGGCATGATGGTTCCATGTTCTCATTCTGTTTACGCCAAATTCTGACTCTAACATCTGAATGTCTCAACAGAAATCGAGACTCATCAGACCAGGCAACATTTTTCCAGTCTTCAACTGTTTAATTTTGGTGAGCTCTTGCAAATTGTAGCCTCTTTTTCCTATTTGTAGTGGAGATGAGTGGTACCCGGTGGAGTCTTCTGCTGTTGTAGCCCATCCGCCTCAAGGTTGTGCGTGTTGTGGCTTCACAAATGCTTTGCTGCATACCTCGGTTGTAACGAGTGGTTATTTCAGTCACTGTTGCCCTTCTATCAGCTCGAACCAGTCTGGCCATTCTCCTCTGACCTCTGGCATCAACAAGGCATTTCCGCCCACAGAACTGCCGCTCACTGGATGTTTTTTCTTTTTCGGACCATTCTCTGTAAACCCTAGAGATGGTTGTGCGTGAAAATCCCAGTAGATTAGCAGTTTCTGAAATACTCAGACCAGCCCTTCTGGCACCAACAATCATGCCACGTTCAAAGTCACTCAGATCACCTTTCTTCCCCATACTGATGCTCGGTTTGAACTGCAGGAGATTGTCTTGACCATGTCTACATGCCTAAATGCACTGAGTTGCCGCCATGTGATTGGCTGCTTAGAAATTAAGTGTTAACGAGCAGTTGGACAGGTGTACCTAATAAAGTGGCCGGTGAGTGTATATATATATATATATATATATATATATATTTATTATAATTTAATCTTTGTATGTATGTATGAATGTGTATATGGATTGGAGTCAGTGCATGTACCTTAAAGCTCTGCTGAGTTTGTCATAATTCATGTGTGGCTTGCCCTTCCTCTCCCCCCACAGTTTAGCCAATCTCTCTGGGTCTCTGATTACAAACTCTCCCCATTCGCTGCCCCACGTGATAGCTCCGCCTTCGCCACGCCCCAACAGCTCTAACAGGAAGTGCCACAACTGCACCTGCCGCGAGCCTGGAGAGCACGCTGGTTTATACGCCCAATCAGGGAAAAGCACTGCTGAGGGAAAGAAGAATGCAAAGTTATGCTTGCAAGATAGAAAGAGTAATTAGAAACAATTCAGTTTGTACAATTTACTGCATGAAACACCAAGTTTCCAATCCAATTATGATTGCATGCATCTCACTAATAGGCCTCTATATTTTCCCCGCACAGCTAGCCAAAATAAACAATTCAGATTAATCGTATCCCATAATACTGTTCACAAATAACGTTAGTGGGATCTCATTGAGTTTCAAAGTCTATCTGTAATTTGCCACAAATCCTTTGAAATGACGGCAAGAGAAGAGACATTATGTTATGCATTTTCTATCATGATTTTAATGGATTAATTCTGTAGTTTAATTTAATAAGTTTTATGCTACAAACGGGACTGAAACGTGTTTGGTCAAATGATGGAGCAGGACATTTCATGTGTGTAGTATATATAGGAAGGAACAATGCAGTCCTGGAATTATATGGAATCATCATGAATAGAATGTATGATTAAATAATATTAAACTATTTAATAACTGTACGAATAATAAGTCTGCACCAGTTCCAACCTAAAGTTCCACTGTGCTTTACACACACACACACACACACACACACACACACACACACACACACACACACACACACACACACACACACGTCTCCGAGATATAATACATTTTGTGAAATTTAGTGCTGTACCAGTACTGTTGCACAGCACCAATTTCATCGTCACCGCTCGTCAATGTCAAAATATTTGAGATGACCAATCAAATTAAAGCTTTATGTTCACAGACGCTAAACGTGCGATATAAGATGTAAGTAGTTAAACTAAACATTTCATATTTGAGAGCTGTTTTTGGATAAAAATGTTAAACGCCGTCAAAAATAATCTGGCAAAGTGATAAACTTTTTTATAAAATTTAAGTAATTCATGTAGGCCTACGTTAATGTAACGTTAATAATTGGCAATTGTCATTGTGAGGGGACAATAAACATTAATTAAGCCGTATATTAGGCATACGATTGATAATGAATGTGTTCTTCATACTGTGAATTCATTTCTAAGAAATGTTTTACCTAGCGTTTACCTAGCCTTCTGTAAATTAACTTGTCAAAGAAAATGATTAATATTAATAATAATAAAAATCCTTACAATTACAATAGGGTTTCAGCACTTCGTTCTTGAATCCCTAAAAAAAGCCTAAATATCAGTTGACCCAATGTTTACTTTCTTCACTGACAGACGAAAATGAAAAGACCATCAGTCAAAGCTCTGCTAGGAGGGGAAGAAACAGGGCAACATAAGGAGACAGTGAAAAAGAAAGAGTGAAGGAGATGAGAGACCAGGTATTGACACAATCTAACTGCCCACTGACATGTTTTTTTATTTCTTATCCATTTTTTGCCCCTCAAACGTCTTGAAATGCACATAGTGATCCTACAAATGCTGATTTAAATTGAGTGACTTCTTCAAAACTTCAGGTTTCGCAACATGAAACAAAAACACTTAAAAGATATGTTAGCTAAGTAGGTAAGTGTAGTTATCCATGCCAAATAATATTCAAGCATATTTCAGATGATGGAACAGTGCACTCCAGTCCACACTGTTTTTTAGGACCATGGTTTAGACTGAAAAAGGTGGTACATGATCTTAGTAACCAATTTGACAATACTGTAATACAATGTAATACAATAATACATAGTTTTGGTGCATCAAAAAGCGTGCTCCTTAAGATACCAGCAGACAAGCTAATCAAGCACAATAGTGCATAAAAAGTCACCAAAATGAAGTATTTGAAACTCATAATTAAATACAAAATGAGGGGGAAACTGCAAAAAGGTCTACTTTTTGGAAAAAAATACCCCCCCTTTCACTAGGCTGGCTATAGGCTTGACACACACACACACACACACACACACACACACACACATTCACTTACTTCTGCTCCAGTAAGTCGAGGAAAAAGGACCCAGAGAGGAATTACAATTACACTCCATCTGTAAAATATTAATATCTTCATCATCGTCTTCATAATCAGCATCATCTTTATTCCCTGAGCTCAATTAAATCAGTGAGTAAAAATAAGAAGCGATTGTTTGGAATCCCAATTACTTCAAGTAGACTTTCAGATCTTTATTTCACTGCTGGACTGTTTTCACGGGTTTGGATAAATGCAGAAAATAGATTAGGCCATAGACCAGATGGGTTCGTTTTCAGTGTCAGACGTTCGATCTAATGTTATTTTAGCTACATATAGGCTAGTTAAGCTGCCGATGATGTCGGAATTTTTAAGATATAAAAAAAAAAAAAAAAAAAAAAAAAAAAAAAAATTTAAAATCAAATGATTACTTTTTTTTATTTAAACATTGAAAGTTCTTTCTTTAAAACATAATACTACTATAAATACAATACCATGATAGAAAATCACTAAATAAGAATATATAAATAAAAAGAGGAAAATCTAAAATGATCAACACTTTAAATTTGATTAAATCATCAACATAGGCCTATCATATTATTCATAATCGCAATAAACAAGTAACAGTAAAGCGTAAAATTAACTATTACAGGCCTAATGAATAATTTTCCTCTTTTGAATTTATAAAACAACACAAGTATCATTTCTATAAGACTGTTTAAGAGAGATGTTGTTACCTGTTCAGTGGAGATGCTCTTTTCTGGAGAAATGAAGAAAGATACCTGTAACAATTCCCTCACTATTTATCTTCATCCCTGTCCCTCTCTCTTATTTACTGTACAACTATTAACTTCATCCCTGATCTCTCTCTCTCTCTCTCCCTCTCTCTCTCTCTCTCTCTCTCTCTCTCTCTCTCTCTCTCTCTCTCTCTCTCTCTCTCTCTCTCTCTCTCTCTCTCTCTCTCTCTCTCTCTCTCTCTCTCTCTCTCTCTCTCTCTCTCTCTCTCTCTCTCTCTCTCTCTCTCTCTCTCTCTCTCTCTCTCTCTCTCCACCAATCCAAACTGACAGTGATACCCAAGCTTTCCGTTTTTAGGAGGATGTTTTGTATTGGATGTGGATTTGCCTGGTTTAACACACAAAAAGAGAGAGAGAACATTTAGACAATTTAATAATTAAGATAAATTAGCCTAAATTATTTGATGGAAAAACAAAATAAATATCTCAGGTAAAAGGGAACGTTTTCAGAACTCTTAGAAGGTTCTCTGAAAGTTATGAACTAAATGTTAGCACAAAAATATTTATACACCGTTTATGGAACTTTTTTGAAATGGTTTTGTTGGATGTTCATCAAACCTTTTTTACATGTTAGGACTAAATTACTTGTTTCAGAATGTTTAGAGACATTCAAAAGTAACATTCCCACGATGTTTGCAAAACGATAAAACAATGTTCCCTTAACGTTCGCATAGTCAAATAATTTTTTTCAGTAAAACATTTACAAACTGGACGCTTTGCACATTCAGAAATAACATTTTCGTGACTTAATGGGGACTTTAGCTAAATGTTTTTAGAATATATTTTTCTTAGCTGGGCTACAGTAGGCCTACATTATAACCAATATAAAAATACAAATGTAAAAATATTATTAAAATAAATGTATTACTCTTTTTATTGCTACATGAAACGTTCACACAAAAAAAGAAAAAGAAAAAAGAAATTAATTAATAAAATGAATAAATTAATAAAAATGAATAAATTAATAAAAATACAACATAACATGTTTAAGCTTCGGAAAGTCCCTAAATGTTTCTTTAATCAAAGCAAAATTATATCTGAATAATATTTAATCTAAATTAACACACATACGGTAATTAACGATAAAATCATGACCTATGCAAATTGTCCTCTTGTGTCTCTTAATATGTCAAATCATGAAACTTAAACTAAAGGAGCATCTTGACTAAAGATGAAAATCTGTACTGTAAATCAACAGATGAAAGAGATTGTATATCTCTCTGTCTGCCTGCACACACACACACACACTGCAGTGTGACAGGTGACACCGGAGGCTTTTAATTCCAGTGTACACACAAATTCTGGTCCAGACAGACATCAATAATTCAGGCTGTTAATTGAGTTGAACGTTATGCTTTTAGCTGTAGGACTGTAGGTCAGACAGTCAGACCTCTAACGTTTTGGTTACACGCAATACATTTATATACACAAATTCACAAAGTGAATGCACTATTTCTTGCACCATACATCATATTAATTTAGCTAACATCTGAAGATTCCTCACATCTGAACTGTGCCTGTGTGGTCCCTACATTATGGGGACCAAATGTCCCCACAAGTATAGCAATACCATGTACATTTTGACCTTGTGGGGACATTTTTTGATACCCATGAGGAAACAAGCTTATAAATCATGCAGAATGATTTTTCTTTTGAAAATCTAAAATTGCAGAAAGTTTTCTGTGATGGGTAGGTTTAGCGGTATAGTATAAGGGGACATAATATACAGTTTGTACAGTATAAAAACCATTACCTCTATGGAATATCCCCATAAAACATGGAAACCCAACATGTGTGTGTGTGTGTGTGTGTGTGTGTGTGTGTGTGTGTGTGTGTGTGTGTGTGTGTGTGTGTGTGTGTGTGTGTGTGTGTGTGTGTGTGTGTGTGTGTGTGTGTGTGGATTAGATGGTCTAAATGAAATGTTTGTTTTAAAGTGGACAGTGCCAAAGCTCTTTATACCCCTTCCTCATCAGTTCAACTTATCCTTTCATTCTCATCTCCTCTCCCTTCTCATCCTTTCTTCCCAGATCTCCCTCTCTATCCTTCTTACTGCTGCTTATTCCTGTTCACGCTGAGAGCAGAGAGGAGGAGATTTGCAGCTCTGATAGTGTGAGTGTATGTGCTTAACAGGCGTGACATAGAGAGACTGTGTGTGTTTGTGTATAAGGTCACAGGGCTCATCTTTAAGGATGAATCCTGTTATACGTTAGGAGGATAAAAGGCTCTGGTGAGTTTGTGCAAACTCAGTAATCTCAGATCGGATTGATTCCATTGGGAAGTCACTCTCTCCCCTGAGACACAACAGAGAAAGAGAGAGAGTTTCTGCACTGAACACATATTTGCTTATTCAGCTTTATTTACATTTATTCACATGGCAGACACTTTTATTAAAAAGTAATTTTACTACTTTGCTTTTTTCTTATTTTATTAGACTTTTACTTTATTTAATTTTATTTTAAAAAATTATATTGTACAGTATATTGTTTCTGCATTAGATTATAATTTTTTTTTAAATTAATAGCTAACTGTGACTTTGTATAATGTACATTTCTGAAATACTTAACTTAGACAGTTACCTCTGATAACAGAACACTCTAAATTGTAATATGGACTGAAATGATGTGTATTGTGAAAAGCGCTATAATAAACGTGAATTGAATATATGCTGATGACTTTTAACATTACTTCATTTACTGCATTATTGTCAATCTATTTTATATAACTGCAGACTGCAAATGCCCTGGCTTATTGTGTAAAGCAGATCATAATAGAAGATAAAATAATAGATTAGAAAACAATTTAAATTGATTAATCTTTCTTGGCACTGCCTCTTATATTGAGCTTTTGATTTATTATTGTAATGTAATTTTCATCCTTTTCATTACTGTATTATTAGCAGTTTAATTAATATACTAGTTATTTTTGCAGCAAATGCTTTGGAAATATGAATAAAGATTTAATAATGCAAACAATTAATTAACTTACTTTGTAAAAGCACAACTGAATTGATATTGATTGATCTGCCTTGCCATTGTGTCTCATTAAACACTTGAATAATTATTGACAGTTTTATTTCTTTATCTTTAGCTTCAATTATTCTTTTAAAATTGATGTTATGTGTCCCTTTAGTTTACATTTACAATTAGTTGTTTAGAGATGTCAAATTCTGTCCATTTTCATATACATTTTTAAATAAATACATTTTCATTTGTAAATATACTTGTTTCCTCCAATTACATAATTTATATTTTTACCTTACAATACTTATTTTGCATTATTTTTCAATCTATTCCGATTTCAGAAGCTGCAAAACACTTCGGCAATACAAAAGTGAGTTACACTTTATTTTAAGGTGTCCGTGTTACAGTGTAATTATACATTTATGTAATAATTAACTACATGTACTTACTATACGGTTAGGATTAGTTCTATGTAATTAAACAACATTTATAGTAATTGCTAGAGTAACTACACAAGCACATCCTATTTACTCTTTTTTTTTTTTTAAATGAATGTTAATTCCTTAATATTTTTTTGAGAATATTTGTCAATTGCTATTTACTCGGATAGCTCTGCAGAATAATTTGAGATATTTATTCATTTGTTAAAATGTGTTTGGATCATTTTTATAATGAAATAAGGAAGTTTTATAATGAAAAAAGCAGTCCCATTATTAAGTGAAATTGAGAGTAGCCCAAATGATGTCAACAGTAATATTTTAACAAATAAATAAGAATATAAAAACAGCTAATTAAATAGAATTACACACCTGAGCTTCACACTATTTGGCAATGTGAAAAGTTTTTCTCTCTCTCTTTGTCATGGCAATAAAGTTCGAGTGAATTAGATTTGAGAGCGAGAGAATGGGACAAACTGTGTGTGTGTGTATTATGAATCAGGTCTATTCCAGAGAGGTCTCATTCTCTGGTCTCTGCTTGCAGACTTTTTTGTGGTCACTCGCCTCCAGAAGACTGAAACCTCTCTCTATCTGTGCGTGTCCTCAGATCTCTGCTCTTTCTCTTCCATTACTGCTGACAAATCTCTCTCTCTGCCCAGCTCAGGGGAGTTGTGGTTTCTAAAAGGTTTCTGTATATTTCCCATGCCTCTATCAGTCTATGTTGAGGAAAATAATATATCCGCCCGAAACAAGAGACAAATAGCCAGAGACATTGAGAGTAAAAGTGCCAAAACAATTGCTGCAAGTGAAGCACACACAGACCTTTATAAAAATGAGACAGGACCCAAGTGTATTCACCATTTTAAACCTTCATCATCTTTTTAATCATGTGTAATCTTAATCTCATGTGTAAACAAATTCAGAGGAGACCTCCATCATTGGCCTTCTGCTCTTTATAAATAACATCCTGACCTCTTGTTTGGGATTCCAGATGTCCAGACCTCACATTTTTCTCTCATGGACAGAATACAGATTCTGAATTCCAGATCTGCAGCTAGGACCATATTTCTATGTACTTAGCATATTTATGAGGAATATAATGCAAGAACATTGGTGACCAGCAACAAGAATTCAATGCTCTGAACATCTCAATTGTGTTCTTACCCAGACTCTGAATTATGACAACGAGGGGGAAAAAAAGATCTTGGAGTCTAGAATCCAAATCTAGTGGCTGATTAATCTCATTAGTATCATTTAATCATGGTTCAAACATAATCAAACTTACAGTACCAGAACATGACGATTAACTTCACATGAACATGAGAAGAAAGGTAAATGACCCTTTTGATAACAAAGTCCATGAAGCACAGCTGACCTTCAACAGAAGATATGACTTTTTTTTCTGCTTCCCAAAGGTGTGTGTGTGTGTCTGTACATCGGTTATCTCATTATTTGTTCCAGTCAAAACATCAGTAGTGATTTTTTTTTCCCAGTAGTGATTTTGCAAATTAAATACAAACATAAACAAAGGAATCACAGCGTGTTAGAGCTACAGTGCAACTGCTCAGTCATTCATGAAATAAACAACAAATATTTACAAACAAAATTCACAATTATAAAAAAATACTGTT